GCCTGTCTCTTCTTACCCTGTATAATAAAGTTCATCAAATCCCAAGTCGGAAAAATCTCTAATCAAGCTTTCAACCAGCTTTTACTCAGGAACTACCAGCTTCTGGCCACAGAAGATCCCTCACCCTCACGTGACCTCCTCACCACACGCTGAGATGGACCCCTCTCTCCACTGGAAACTGTTCCTGGAAACAATAGCCGCAGACGCCTGGCTCCTGACACCCATATCCTCTTGGCCAACCTATGGTTACAGGGAACCTTCATTGATTTCCAAACCTGAAGAAGTCCACATCTACTCGTCCTTACTGCGGGGAGTCCTATCAACCCTTTCCTCCCAATCCTCAAGCCCTCACTCCCTTCTCCGCCCCTGTTCAGCAGGAAGCAGCCAGAGAGAAAGCAACGTCCACAAACCCATAGAGGAGAAAGGGGGGAATGAAGGGTCCCCACCAGTAAGATGGCAAACTTCCGGCTTCTCTTCGGGGTCCTCAGTTCCCGCCGGCGCCACCTGAAGCCCAATCACCTCTCGCCCCCCTCCCAATCCCAGCACCTAGCCAACAGCCCCGTAGAAGTGACAGCTCAATCAATTCATGCCCCCTCCTATATAACCCAGCACCTTTCCCTAATAAAGCGGAACTCTCCGGTGAATTGCTGCTATGTGTCGCTCCTTTCCTTTCAGATTGCTCACTGAATTTAGAAAACATTGCTGCAAGTAATTAAAGAAGATTTAAATAAGTGGAAATACATTCCATGTTTATGTACTTAAAAGACAGTATTATTAAGATGGCAATATTTTCCAATGTGATTTAGATTCAATGCTATCTGTATTAAAATCTCAATTGATTATTTATTTCAGAAATAAAAAATCAGGAGGTGGTGGGTCCAAGGTGTTGGTATAGAAAGAGCCTGAACCCATCTCCTTCCATGTACACACCAAATCTATACCTACACATGGAGAAATTCATCCTCAGGAAGATCTGAGACCTTCTGCCCTGTAACTCCAGGGGGAAAATCCCAGGGCAAAATACCTCTAAAACCGAAATCAGGCAAAGAGAGAAATAAAGTTAAGAAACTCATTTATTTATTATAAGCAGTCATCCTATCTCTCTCTTGACCAGGCTACAGCAGAAGAGAGAGCTGCACCCAACCTATCCTGTGCAGATAAACCCTTGCAGGCTCTTGTAATTACCTATTGATATGTAGATGGTACTTCTCTCCACCCCTTGGAAACACCTATTGATATGCAGATGAACTAAAGCCAGGTGAGAGAGTCTGAAAATATTACAATTTTACTCACATGCACAGTGAAGGATAAAAAGACCACATAAAAAATGGCAGAAGAGAGGGAGCCCTACCCCTAACATGGCTCTGCAGTAGGAAAGGATGTCATTGAGAGACCATAACACAAATCTAGTTGCCTTGCATCACAGGAAAAAAAGCTGTCGTTTGGAGGGTTTAAAGGCCAATCACACTATAAATGAAGGAAATGGTTTTTCAAAACTAAAGCACCAGCTAAATGGCTGGGAAGCAATTAGAACTCTGTCCAGGACCAGAGATGCTTGTGAGCACCATTGTTTATGTTCCCCTCACACATTGATAGTATAGATGGGAGCAGGGTGAGTGCCATTGTCTACTTTTCCACACAAAAACTGCTAGTGTGCATGGGAGCAGGGAGAGTGGCATTGCTTTCCTTCCCCCCACACATATTGATAGTGCAGATAGGAGCAGGGGCAGGGTGCACATACCAGCTCTAGACTTAAACAAGGTGGTTCCTGAGACCTTGCTTGCACCCAAATACATCTGCCAAAGATCCAGCAGGCCCACAAAAATGGCGCTAGTGCAGAACCTACATGGATTAAACCTGACTATGCCCCCTCCATCCCCAGCTTCCCTGTTAGCATGGCCCCAACTAGTGCCCAACTGAGATCTCCAGATAATGAGCTTCTACCCTGAGCTGCCCCACCAGTGCGGCATCAGCTGACACCTACCCAGGAAATCCCTGGATTGTGGCCCTCTGCTCCAATCACCCTGTCCGCAAGGTCTTCGCCCACTGACCACCCACAGACTGTTCCCCTTTTAAACTGGCCACCACACCACTCTGACACTGACTGGTGCCCACCTGAATGTCCCCTAGATTGCACCAGTCCACCTCCAGTCGCCCATTAGTGTGGACCCAACTGGTGCCCACATAAGAGACCTCTGGACCATGTCTTTCTGCCCTGGAATGCCCGCCAGTGAGGCCCCAAAATATTGCCCACCCAGGAGTCCTCCAGCCTGTGATCCCTTGATATTGACCATGCCACCAGCATGGTCTTGGCTGGCACCCACTCAGTAGACCCCTGGACTGTATCCCTTCATTCCCAGCTCCCCTGTTAGCATAGTCCTAACTAACACCCACCCGGATACCCAAGGAGATCCTGGCCTATGCCCAGTTACCCTCCAGCCAGCCGGTCAAAACTGTAAGACACATAGTCTACTCAGATGTTCCAACCCAAGGTCACACCTTCAAGACTGGTAGAGGTAACCTTTGTGCTTAACTCATGGAAACATGGAAAGTCAAACAATATGAGGAGACAAAGGAATATGCTTGAAAAAAAAGAACATGATAAAACTTCAGAAAAAGAACTACATGAAATAGAGTTAAGCAATCTACCCAATAAAAAGTTTAAAGTAATGGTTATTTATAAATTAATGTAATCCAAAGTAATGGTTAAATAAATATGCTTACCAGTCTTGAGAGAAGAGTGGATGAACTCAATGATAATTTCAACAAAGTCATAGAAAATATGAAAAAACCCTATCAGAGATGAATACAAAAATAAAATGAAAATACACTTCAGTGAGTCAAGAGCAGATTAGACGATGCAGAAGAGCAGAGCAGCAATCAGGATAGACAGTAATGGAAAGAACTCAAGCTGAACAACCTAAACATAAAAGAAATGAAATGAGGACAGGTTAAGGGACCAATGTCCTATCATTCACATTGTAAAAGTCCTAGAAGGAGAAGAGAAATAGAAAGAGGTGGAAAGCTTATTTGGAGAAATAGTAGCTGAATTCTTCCATAACCTGGGGAAAGAAACAGATATCCAGGTCAAGGAAGAACAGAAAACCACAAAAAAGATGAACCCAAGGAGGTCCACACCAAGTACATAGTAATTAAAATGTCAAAGGTCAAAGACAAAGAAAGAATCTTAAAAGTGTCAAGAGAAAGGCATTGAGTTTCATAGAAGGGAAAACACATAAGGCTATTATCTGACTTTCAAAAGAAACTATAGGCCAGAATGGAATGTCATGATATTCATGATATATTCAAAGTGCTAAAGGAAAAAGCCTACAAATAAGAACATTCTACCTGGCAAGGTTATCATTCAGAACTAAAGGAGAGATAAGAGCTTCTCGGGTAAATACAAGTTAAAGGAGTTCACCACCACTAAATCAGCCATACAGGAAATGTTAGAGGGAAACTTAAAATGAAAAGAAGGGCCATAATTAGAAGCAAGAAAACCTATGAAAAGAAAAAAATTTCACTGGTAAAATCAAGCATCAAGCAAAAGTAGTAGAACAATCACTTAAAAATCACTATGCAAAAAAAATCTCATCATAATATAAATTAGTCATGGGGATAAAAGAATAGCATAGAGAATATAGTCAACAGTCTGTAACATCTTTTTATGCTGACAGTAGCTACACTAGTTGGGGTATGAACCTAAAAATATATATAATTGTTGAATCACTATGTTGTATACTTGAAACCAATACATTGTCTATCAACTATGCTTCAATAAAAATATTTTTAAAAAGTTATTATGAAGCTTAAAAGAAAAAAATAGTAAAATCAATCACTTCAAAAAGCTAGTTAAGGAAATAACTAAATAAAAAGGTATAAAATAAGATATTAGATACATGAAACTGGAGGAGGGTGAGTAAAAAAATGTGCTGTTAAAATGCATTCAAATTTAAGCAATCATTAACTTAACATAGACTACTATATATGTAACACATTATATATAAACTCCAAGGTAACCACAAACCAAAAATGTATGATACACAAAAATAAAGAGAAAGGAATTCAACCAAAGCACAGAAGAAAGCCATCATACACAAGAGAAGAGAACCAAAAGAAGGATCAGAAAGCTACAAAACAATCAGAAAACTTTTAACAAAATAGCAATGAGTACATACATACCAATATATACTTTAAATGTAAATGGACTAAATGCTCCAATAAAAGACATAGGGTGATGGAATGGATAGAAAAACAGCACCTATTTGCATCCTTCCTAAAAGAGGCTCACTTCAGACCCAAAGGTAGAAACAGAATGAAACCGAAGGGATGAAAAAAATATTCCAATCAAGGAGAAATTTAAAATACGCTGGAGTAGCAGCACTTATAGACAAAATACACTTTAAAACAAAGACTTTAACAAGAGACAAAGAGGGACATTATTTATGACCAAGGGCTAAATCCAGCAAGAAGATATAACAATTGTAAAAAGCTACAAACACAAAAAAGGAGCAGCTAAATATATAAAGCAAGTATTAACAGACATAATATAAGAAATTGACAAAAATAAAATAAAAATAGGGGACTTTAACACCCCACTTATATCAATGGATAGATCATTTTGACATAAAATCAATACAGAAACAATGGCTTTGAATGATACATTGGACCAAGTAGACTGAATAGATATATACAGAACACAATATCCAAACACAGTAGAATACATTATTTTCAAGTGTGCATGGAACATTCTCCAGGATAGATCACCTGGATAAGCTACAAAATAAGTCTCAATAAATTTAAGACCAAACTCATACAAAGTATCTTTTCCAGCCAAAATGGTATGAAACTGGAAATTTCATTACAAAAAACCTGGAAAACACACAAACACATGGAGGTTAAACAACATGCTATCAAAAACCAATGGGTCAACAAAGAAATCAAAGAGGAAATATAAAAAATACACGAGATGAATGAAAATAGAAACAAAAAAGTTCAGAATCTTTGGATCAAGCAAAAGCAGATGCAACAGGGAAATTAATAGTGATTGAGGGCTTTTCATTTCATTGTTGGTTTGTTTCCTTTGCTGTAAAGAAGTTTCTAGTTTCCCGTACTCCCATTTGTTTATTTTTGCCTTTGCTTGCCTTGCCTGGGGAAACATATCCCGAAAAAATTACTAATTCCAATGTTCAAGAGTGTACTGCCCATGATCTTTTCTAGGAGTTTTAGGGTTTCAGGTCTTTTATTTAGGTCTTTAACCCATCGAGTTTATTTTTATGTAAGACAGTGACCTAGTTTCATTCCTTTGCATGTGGTGGTACAGTTTTGTTGAAGAGACTGTCTTTTACCCATTTTACATTCTTGCCTCCCTTGTCATACATTAATTGAACAAAGATGCCTATACATTAATTGAACAAAGACGCCTATTAACCATGCCTATGCATGGGTTAATTTTTGTGCTCGCTATTGATCTATGGGTCTGTTCTTGCGCCTGAATCATACTGTTTTAATCACTGTAGCTTTGTAGTATAGCTTGAACTCAGGGAGCATGATACCTCCAGCTTTGTTTTTCTTTCCCGAGATTACTTTGGCTATTCAGGGGTCCTTTACAGTTCCATATGAATTTTAGGATTATTTGCTCTAGTTCATTGAAAAATGTCATTGATATTTTGGTAGAGATTGCACTGAATCTTCAAATTGCTTTGGGAAGGATGGCCATTGGACAATATTAATTCTTCCTCTTCATAAGCATGGGACAGATTTCCATTTATTTGTGTCTTTTTAATTTCTTTAATCAGTGTCTTGTAGTTTTCAGAGGACAGGTCTTTCACTTCCTTGGTTAGGTTAATTCTAGGTGTTTTATTCTTTTTGATGCAATTGTAAATGGAATTGTTTTCTTGATTTCTCTTTTGGCTAGTTCATTGTTTGTACATAAGAATGCAACAGATTTCTGTATATTGATTTTGTATCCTGAATTTTGCTTAATCCACTTATTGGTTTCAATAGGTTTTTTGATGGAGTCCTTAGGGTTTTTTTAAATTATATATAAAAATATCATGTCATCTGCAAAGGTGACAATTTTATTCCTTCCTTACCAATTTGGATGCCTTCTATTTCTTTTTCTTGCCTGATTGCTATGGCTAGGACTTCCAGCACTATGTTGAATAAAAGTGGTGACAGTGAGCATTCTTGTCTTTTTCCTGATCTTAGAGGAAAAGCTTTCAGTTTTTGCCATTGAGTATGATGTTAGCTGTGGGTTTGTCATATGTGGCCTTTGTTATATTTAAGCATGTTCCCTCTATAGCCACTTTCCTGAGAGTTTTTATCATGAACAGATGCCAAAATTTTCCATGTGTTTTCCAGCATTTATTGAGAAGATCATATGTTTTTTATTCTTCTTTTTTTTAATATGGCATATCACATTGATTGGTTTTGGGATATGGTTTTGGGATATTGAAGTATCCTGGAATAAATCTCATGTTGTCATGGTGAATGATCCTTTTAATGTATTTTTGAATTTTCCTAATATTTTGCTAATATTTTTTGAGGAATTTTGCCTCTGTGTTCATTAGAGATGTTCACCTCTCATTTTCATTTTTTGTAGTGTCTTTGGTTTTAGTATCAAGGTGATGCTGGACTGGTAGAATGAAATTGGAGGCTTTCCATCCTCTTAAATTTCTTGTAATAGTTTGAGAAAGATAGGTACTAACTCTTCTTTAAATGTTTATTATAATTTTACTGTAAAGCCATCTGGTCTTGACTATTTGTCAGGAGTTCTTTGTTTACCACTTCAATTTTTTACTAGCGTTCAGTCTGTTCAGATTTTCTATTTCTTCCTGGTTCAGTCTTGGAAGGTTTCATGTTTCTAGAAATTTATCCATTTCTTCTAGGTTGTCCAATTTGTTGCCATATTATTTTTCATAGTAGTATCTTGTAATAATTTGTATTTCTGTGATGTCAGTTGTAACTTCTTTCATTTCTGACTTTATTTATTTGAGTCCTCTATCCTTTTTTCCTTGATGAGTCTAGCTAAAGACTTATCAATTTTGTCTACCTTTCCAAAGAACAAGTTTGGGAAACTTTATAGTGTAAAAATCCAGACAGTAAATATTTAATCTTTTTCAGACATCTAGTCCCTGTTATAACAACTCACCTGTCATTGTAGTGAGAGAGAAATCATAGGGAATATGTGAATTAATGATGACCATGTTTTAATAAAACTTTAATAACAAGCAATAAGCCAAATTTGTGGGCCAAATCCCACTCTTTACAACTAATCAACATTTGAAATTATTAAACTTTTAAGCATTCATCAATAGTAGATGTGAAAAATATACTTACTTTATTTTTCTTTTTTTCTGGTATTTATGCTCAAGCACAAATATTGACTATTTTGGTTTCATCTTTAGCCAATTTTCTACTCTGGATCAGTTCTCTTTTTCTTTTTAATTTGTGTGAGATATTTATATATTTTGAAAATTTTATCTTGTGCAATTTTTTTCTTCCAAGTTTTGTGATTTTTTTACTTTATCATATTTTGTTTTTTGACATTTAAAATTTTGTCCCCAACAAAAACAGCTGATTTTATTAAAATCCATTATTGCAAAAATTAGGTAAGAAAATACAGATAAAATAATAATCATGCAAAATCTCCTTACCCTGTGATAACTACCATAGACATGTTATTAGCTGTACCTTAAAATGCCTTGTGATACATATATTAAATAATGGGTGCATTGCCTATCCTTGATGGGTTTTTCTCTTTATTTTGTTTGTAATCTGTTACCATGATTACCACCGCAACTTTCATGCTTTCCAAAGTGGATTCTTTTGTACCTTTCTCCATGCTCACATAATCATCTACATACAAACACATACATTAATGGTGGAAATATTTCATTGCAATTTTGTTAGCATAATTTAATACTAAGTTATATACTTCTCTGCATCTACATCCTGTGTATGTGGAAACCACCCAATGATTTCACTACAGTATAGGCTCTTTTGGCAGGGCTGTGTTACCACTGGTCAGTTTCTAGAAAAGAACATGTGTGTTCT